TGTTCATTCAAACGCCAACGATCATTATTAACGTATGTTTGATTTATAATAAATTGATTATAAAATTTGATAGGAAAACATTTTCCCTGAAAACATCTTTCATCAATATCTTCATCAATATAATTCAAAAATTCATATAAAACAAAATATGTTTTATCAATCAAATCTCTATAGCAAATATTTCGTTGATAGGATCGTATTGGTAGATAAATAACATGTAAATATGCTTCACCTTTGTTTAATGTTACATAAGGACTGTTAATTATTGAAATGTTGAAATGAAACTTGCTCAAAATATCATAATCAACACCANATCAAAATCAAAGGAATTAAATCGAGAGATTTTTTTCTGTTGTTGTTTGTTATAATCAATTGTTTTAATTAAACGCTGTAAATGCCATGTATATTTGAATAAATGTTTTCAATTTTCGTTAAACGATTTTGTATTGCCGAGAAATTTGCTTGTTTTACACGTATTAAACGTTCAAGTTGTGGTAATTCAACAAGTAGCGAAGTATAAATACGATGTTCATCAGTAAGAAATGCTTTTCTTATACTATTATACTTGTATATTAATAAAAAAACTTGCAAATATTAAAACGAAAAATAACCATCGTTGTCGACGAAGATAGATCAACATCATTTTTCATGTGTCTTCTGGTACGTGCTTTAATCCTTTCTGTTATTTTCTTTTCTTGTCTATAATTCTCGTTTATTTTAACGATGCTACGAATTAAGAAGAAAAAGAGAAAAAAAACGTGTTTATTTACCGGGAACAATCGATTGGGCAGTAACACGCATGCCACGATAGTCGACAACAACAGTGCCTAATGTGTGTAAACCATCTAAATCGAGTGTATTTATGGCACGGACACCTTGTAAATCATTTGCTGGAGCTGAATGAGCAGCAGCATCACCACCAAAATCTTTATAATGATCTTTTACATCAAATCCAAGACTGAAGAACATATTATTCCATATGTACATATGAACTCTAGAATACGAGTTTTCAAGTAAAACATTTAGAATATAATTAAAAATAATGTTGTACGTTCATTTTCAATACATTTGATCGTAGGAAAAGTGCTTTTTTTTCATGTACAAGAAGGTTATTAGTATTATTTCTATATTTTAAATTTAAAACTTAAGTATATTTTCCAATCAGTCGTTTAATAAATATATTCTTAAAGCAGACGATCATCATCATCTTTCAAACGATACTAAAGGAAAACTTATCAGAAATACTGTTTATTTTAGTTTTACTCTTTTTTTCCAATGCAGTATCCCTTTTTTTCGGAGAACATTGATTCATCATACTATTCATCTCTCTTTCTATCGAAGAATGTGTTATGAGATTCATTTTAACTTTAGATTAAAGTGGTAAATAAATTTTGTTCATGCAATGACTAAGAGATTAAATTATGACACATGAATGACTTGTGTATACTTGAAATCAAGAAATCATTCAATGAATGCTTCATTGAGACATTAGTAATGTAATTACTGATCTAGAAGAAAACCTTGATGCAACCAGCAAAATAATAAAAAGACTCTTGACGATCCGCTTTTAAAGTAAATCTGAATATTTTCTCTGAATTTGTGACTTGAATATTAACTAAGACCAGCGGGGTGGGGGGGAAGTTTTTGTAGTTTTAGGTTAGAATATCAAATTTTCCAAAAGCCAAGGTTACTAAGTCATTCAAAATATTTCACAAGATACATACCTTTCTATTGAGACATATCTGCTAGTGAAACTTCATATTGAAATTCTGTCTTTTTCCGATATTTACTGAATAAATTGATCATAATTCGACCCCAACAGTCTTTGAAGACTGAAACACTTGACATCAGTTCCGATATTTAGCTCCCTGATTTTTCATTGTTTATAATACTTCTAACATCTGTGAACAAGTCTTAGCTTCTCTCTGTTTTCTTCACAATAATTGTTTGTCTACTCGTATCATTGTTGAATTCCTAGACTATTAAAAAAACAAGTGAACTCACTTTGATTCTTCACCAGGATTAATAGCCATTATATTTCCATCAATGACAGCTTGACAACCACGCACAGAAGCTGAAATAAAATCCGTATGAACCTAATGTTAAAATAACTAACTTTTTTTTGAAGAAAAGGTGTTTATCATTCATACTTTGAACATTGCACGTTCACGTATAAGCCGTTCCGGTAGATTTTTCTTCGGTAATTCTTTTGTTATCTGTAGCTCTTCGTTCCAATCACGTACTTGACCAGGTATATGATCTTCATGGCCGAGCTTATTGATATTTGCTAAAAGAAAACAAAAACAAAAACAATTTGAACGACTTTTGATAACTATGTTTGATACCGTCTTCAGCTCGAAAATGGTCTATTGTATGCTCAAAACGTGGTGATAGCCATGGATGGATTTGAAATGGAATTTGTATACGTTCAAATGGATGTTTTGTACAGCGTTTACGTTGAATAGCACGAAATTTCTTTTTAAAAATTGGACTAATCTATACAAATAGAAAACAATTTATTATGATTACCATAATTTGATTTGCTTACATTATTTAATAGATCAACAAGTGAATGATGAATAGCTTTAGGTTGCACTGGTTTGAGAACAAATTTTTCGTCTGTAGTTCTTTAAAACAAATCAAGTAAAGCTTGTAGAACCATTGATATTTACTTACTGGCTAACATAAAAGCCTTTAGTGCATGCTGTTATATGCAATGATTTATCTTCGTATGTCGTTACTTTCAAATACGCAAGATCACCTGTTGAAACAACAGAGGAAAAAGATCTCATTCGAAAAAAACAATCGCTATTATTTAATTAACCGTGCAATCTTCATGAACCATTTGGTGGATTCCATCCACTATACGATAACGTTTTCAGACAATTTAATCGCTAAAAACCAAAACAAAATATCGTAATACATCTAGCGAAAATATTTAGAAAATGGAAAATGATAACAGATACACACAATTTTTAATGGTTCAGACTTTCTTTTAAAGATCTTTGGTTATCAATAAACGAGTCAATCATTTTTAAGATTGATAGCCTATTCGGAAAATACTGTCGAACGATATACGTATGTTGATTCAGACATCGACCAAATATACTGATGAGTATAGGGAATTTAAAATGGGTGACAAAACTTGCAGCTTTCTGTAACATTTATTTTCTGAAACGTTATACAATTGATCGTGTTTTGTGTATCGACAACATTAGGCTCAGTCAATTATTTGTGGTTGCTCTATTCTAAAGCTGTGATGCAAATTTATCAAATAAAAATTTAATTTTAGAAGACATCCTTTTTAGAACTGATTCAAACGATTTCAGAAACATGCAGCTTTCATTCAGTAGAACTTAACTATTGTTTCTAATTGAATACTCATAACTCGTCACAATTAATATGAGTTGCTATTAGAAATCTTGTCGTAGTCCATGCTGGTTATATACTCATTTTCAACTCGAAATCGATGCATAGTTAAAGTTCATTTTTAGATATCGTCTAAAACCCGTATCAAGAAACTACATATATATTTAATCTTCATGTATTTATTATCTTTCCTGCAGTAGACCTAGCCATCATGGGAACTCATTGTGATTCAATTAGTATAATCGTTCAATTAAAAGTTTTGTTTTACACTAGATCCCATGAACTTTAAAATGTTGCGTCTATTTTCGAGTAACTCTAGTAAAAAGTAAAGATGTGTGAACAAGTCTCCCATCAAAGTTAAACTTATCAATTTTAACAAAATTATTTCACTATTCTCCAACAAATATTGAAATACAGTTTCTAAGCAAAAAAATATAAAAACCCTAATATCGAATTATTATCTAATGCCATAGGCTTTTGATTCCAAGGGAATGAGTTTTAACAAATCAAGAAGTAAACAAGAGATGCTTTCTAAAAAAAAACTGTTATATTCCTTGCTATTCACTATATAACTAGAAAGTAAATATTTACAATCTGATTATTTGTAGTGAAGAGTGGTGTAAGTAGAATCTCTTTTTGATTTGGTATAAGATATTCAGGCACAATAGAATCATTGCTATTAGTTTCAGCATCTTTTCTTCGATCTAAAACTTTGTAAACATTAAAAATAACGAATAATTTTATATCTCATTACCGTTATTGGGTGATACAGATGTTTCGCTATTATTAATATCATTTACAAGACATAATGAATAATTATTGGTACCATTATATAGATCATTCAAATCACATGCATGAATCAATTCATTTATATGTCTGACGTGAATACGAACTTCACGCGCAGTATATTGTTCTAAATGCAAATTTAGTTTTTAATTGCATGAATTTATTTCATAAAATAAACCTTCGACAACTTTTAATACACTTCCTTCTTTTAATCCATCGATATTCTTCAATTCAGAAAAATTATCCAAAATAACTCCATCGAGTTGTAATGAGAAACAAGTACGATGACATGTTTCTTCTTTATCCATTAAAACTTGATGAATTTCTTGTACAAGTTCACTTGATATTACCTATGAAAATAAATAAGTGTTTTATTTTATCTTTCTTGAATTTTCCCCTTACTGATAAATCAAAACTATCTAAACCAGGTGATTGTACTCGTATATTAAATGAAATTTCGGGTAAAACAACAAGTTCATTTGAACTATTTGGATTTATTGTTGTTATTTCACTTGTATTCAAATTTGATGATGACGATGATGATTGATCAGGGCAATCATTAAATGAAACATCATGCACTGATGATGTTGAACTTGTATTTGTTGCTGCGTCATCATTATCCGACTCTTGACGAGTTTGAATTAAATGATTCTGGTGATCATTGCATATCATATTTTCATCTGGTTGCTTCATCATCTATTCTACTGCTATGAAATCGACAAATGCACAGACGTGGAGTAGATAAAAAAAAACACAAAAAAGAAAAAATGCTAGAAAAAGAAAATAAAGATCTACTTCAAATCAGTTTTTTTCCTTATAGTTGTTTATATATCTACATAGACACATGTGCACCGTATGAAAATTTATTTTTTTTGAAAATAATAAGTATTATATATATATATATCGTTTCTTTTAAGAATCCTTTGATGAATAACGTAGAGAAAAGAGCTATCAGTTACTTTTTTTTTATTCCTGTCACAACATGATGTTTCCGATAAAAAAAAAGCAAAATGATCCATGAAAACACAACAAACAGATGTAAGCAAAAAGATAGACGTGTTGTTGACTTTAACACGTATAGAACAGAGTCAATTGTATACTACGAACGAGAAACTAAAAGTTGCGAGTAAAATAATCTATCATCGTCTAGAACGACATATGTAATGGTTTGCATATGAAAGAAGCAGGGGAAAAACAAGACGAAAGTTCATGGACACTTCTTTTCTCAATCTATGATTTGTTCTTTTACTGTTCTAGCTGTATCAATCATCGAAGGAAAAGAAATCTCCTATGAATAACGTCGAATCAGAAAGACCTTTATTTGTGTAAGATATACTTACGTATATTTTTAAAGCAGTTTGTTAGCAAAAACTAAAACGGGATAATCACTTATACTGCTTCTGCTTTAACGTATTTGTGTCTGATTTAGTTATTAGAAGGATTTCGATGAACAGAATAGGACGAATGCGAACGATGCATATATGTACATTGCGAAAATATAAGCAGAAAGAAGATAGATAACAGTGAGAACGAGTTAATCGATCAGCGTTCCTCTGTAGTAACATTAAAAAAGTAACCTCAAGAAAGAAAAAAGAAAAGAAAGCATCTATGCCCTCCCTTTCGAATTACCATACACACACATATATGTTGATATATATAGTTATATATCTCAGCATCCGATTGGCTAGCAAACATATGGAGTCCAATAGTTCAAAGCTTTTGTCCAAATAATACCTAACTAAGGTACATATTTATTACAATATTGACTTTAGGAATAACTTTTTTCATCTCATCTCTTAGATATTATCATTAGATGGTGCCGTGTTTATTTAAGCTACTCAGTCTCTATTTCGTAACCGATCAGATTAATGAAGTTGGAATTTGAGAGACCAGACGATATTCATCTAAGATTAGTGTAGTATGTGTTAAATTTTATTTCGAACAGCGATCAAATCTTGATTTTCATAAGATTTTTTGTTGATCAGAAATAGCAATATGACGAATAGAATAGACAAGGAAAATGACGGTTCCAGAAACCTTATTTAAATCAAAAGACATGATTTCTTTCATGAGTAACCAGACGCATCCCTGTAGGATCTGATCAGGTTTATCTTATTTTCTGCCAAGTCCATATCTGAAAATTTTGAGAATTAAATGAGTTGAAGTCGTTTAAGAATTTTATAGACTGCGCTAGTCACCAAGCACCAAAACTAAAATTAAATCTCAATGTATTTGGATCGAAAAAATATTACATTTGCTGATCTTTATCTCCAGTTTTCAAAAATCTTCATTTTTCTCGTGCACAGTTTTATTATTGTTTTGTTTAGCTATGCTTAAAATAGTTCACCTTATAAATCAGACCGACTGGAGTAGAAATCGCCTACTCAATCTTCTGAATCGTCAATGTTTTCTCTAGTTTTACCTTATAGTATTTATGAAACATAATTATGTTGTTTAATTAAAAAAACAGTGTTCCAATAATACAGTAGTTCATGTTTTTGTTTGACTGAAAACAGTTTTCAAATGATTACTGTGTCTTTTATTTTCAATTATAAATTAGATCTCTATTCTGATTAATAATGTTTCTGTGATTTAAAAACTATAAAACGAAGGTTATATAGTAAAGAACTTAATAATACAAACAAAGATTCTTTTCATTATTTACACGCGCATGTACTGATAAACAATTTATTAAACGTAATCTTCTTTTTACTATTCAAATTATGTGTATAATTCGTAATAATAATAAAAATATTCAATAGAATACAATGTCATTTTTTTCATTTTTTCTTATGTGAACAAAAAATGAATAGTTTATTACGAAAGTAATAGTGAGCAACAGTTTTGATCGAAAAGGTGACAACCATATATCTTTGTGTTTTTTATTTTATTTTCTTAGGATAAATTGATCGAGTATCGAATGAATTATATTTCTCTGCTCCTTTTTCATTGCTATTTCACTCAAGAAGAGCAAGTGTTCAATACTGATTTCACATACCTTACAGTACAGTAACCACTGCCCTGATTTCTTGATTTGTTGTCGAATTTTATGTATTGATAGACTACAAAAATTGCAGTAAACACAAATTACTTGAAAAAAAGAAAAATTCCGTAACTTCATTTATTCCTATAGTGCATAGTGTGGACTGACAAGCGAATAAAACACCTATAATCTTCATTCTTCAGTTTTTCAGTACTATAGAGAGAAACAAATGCTTTTAACTGTAAAGTGAGGGAAACAATTTATCATAGGAACACATGTAACAGAGACAGGCCCAGTGAAAAATATTCGTTGATTCCAATCAAATTATTGTGCAACAAAACGCAATCCACAATCGGATTGATAATTTTGATTGTAACCGATCACCATTGAACCCAAACGTGATGTTATTGCTAGCCCGGTAGAAATTAGTTTGATTAAAATCTGATTGTTATGTAGCACAATTCGAATTATCAATCGATTGACAATGTGGATTTTACTGGAGAACAATTCAATTCCAATCAAACTAATTTTCACCGGGCTAGCAATAGCATTAAATTTGGGTCAAATGGTAGTCGATTAAAATCAAAATTATTAATCAAATTGTGGGTTGGATTTTGTTGCACAATGATTTGATTGAAATCAGCGAATATTTTTCATTGTGGTGGGGGTGGTGGTGGGGGGGGGGGGGATATGGGTAG